CAGACAGACCTTGTTGCTCCTATACAGATAATTTCCCCAGATCTATAGATCATCGCTGTGGTTCGTGGTTTACGGATCCTCATGATGAGCCTGCTGGGCCACTGAAACAACAGGAGGCTAAATGAACCACTCTGCTAATCAGGAAAGTCAGTAAACCAGCTTGTTTTTCAAGAGGCATGCAGAGGTGCTGGACATGAAGTGGGCAGCTAGTAGGATTGGCTGTGAACATTAGGACCCAATGATAAATTCCTCTGTATACATGTAACAGGAACTATTCTGGGGTGGTGAAGCTGTCACTGAGTGGACAGTTGGATGACTGCTGTGGGCCTCTGATCTGCCTTTCTGATGCCTCGCCTGCTTGCACTTTGACTGAGAGCAGGAGAGTCATTTAGAAGCATCCACTGTGTAACTGTAGTATGTAAGATACTAACACTAGACTTTGACATGTCTACAAAACAGGTCTATAAGGTAAATGTGTGTATAGCCACAAATAGCGTCTGTAGCACCCTCGGGATGTAGCTGCCCACGTTGCTTAGTTGGTAATACATCCTTGCTAAAGTTTCCTCCACAAACCATGAGGAGTTATCTTATGGGGACCAGGAATATTTATAGTAAACTGTGACATTCTAGGTTGAACTTGCTGCAGCATCTTGTTCTGAACCTTTCTCCACGCCAGGATGGTTTTTATAGAGTGTTCACTAAGAACAGTTCATATGGCTCAGGTATGTGCAGGTGTGCGCACCTGTGGATTGTACTCCACGTTCCAGGTGTTGTGAGCAATGAAGTTCAGGTCCAAACTGCAGCCCAGCCTCGCTGTTGCGACCACATTCCTGCACACAAACGCAATGGACATTTACAACAACACCTGAATGCAGCACAACACTGAGGACTGCAGATTTAACAGGAGGGAGTATTAAAACTATAGTACAGCTCATCAGTGTATCTGTAGGATCAGGTGACCCAGTGAGTACTGCGTGTAGCATCAAGAGCTTCAGACCCGTGTGGTGACCTACGTTATCTTTGGGATTATTTTAGGTAGCTCCGTCACATGGTTCACAGGCATCACGGGGATCATGGGACAAACGGCGGAGGCCCCCTGCTCCAGCGTGGATGACCCACCTGGGAGCTCAGCTGCTGCTGTGGGATTCTGGGAGCTGTAGTCCACACTGGTGCTAACAGTTCCTCTCTCTCTCTCTGCTGTTTGTCTGGGTTCACCTGAAATCAACCAAAGACCTGCAGCGTTACTGACGTTGTCTCTTGTCTGTGTCAGGTCCTCCAGATTTCAGCACTGATGACTCTGTGGCTGTAAACTGACAAAGATGGTATCAAGTCCCAAGTCTGCTGAAGTACAGGTTCATGTTGGTTCATTGAGCATCTTTCAAACTTTCCCCACATGCATGATGATTTTCTTGGCTAATGTACCTGTGTCATCCTGGCACAGTGTCAGGAGCTCATCAGGCAGTAAACAGAGGGACTCCTCCAGCTGTGGCAGTTCCTGCAGTGAGTTACACACATCAGATCAGGTCTGAAAGGATCCGGCTGGTCATATTTGATTTTGTTTTTCTTGTCAACACATCCCATATAAAGATCAAAATCAGCAAGTCTGTACTCACTTTGGCAATGAACTCGTCAATGTATCTTTCCAACGCTGACTCATCCATGATTGGAAAACACTCCAGAGGCCTGGATCAGGTCTGTGACTAAATAACCTTCTCGTAAACAAAAGTTATGCCAGATACAACATATACTGTCCTCTCATGTATTTACATTCAAATGGGCTAAGTCAGGAGAGCTCTGTTACTGGGTGACTGACATGTATTTTGTTTTCTTTAAAACGATTCTTTGTTTTCTTTTGTAATTTGATGGTGCTCTGTAAAATGCATATGACTTTATTTTCCTTTGAACTACGTTGGTGTGCAGTCAGGTCTGTTCTACTGTATGTGATGTAAGGCCAGTGTTTGAAGGCCA